TCGCCCATGAACGAGGTATCCTCTGCTGCTGTGTCGTCTAAATCTAGGGTAGATCCTTTCCGATGATCGAGAGAGCCGCTCGGTGTCAAAGCCCAATCACAATCAAAGCCAAACGCTGCTGGTTCGATTCCCAAACCTGGGTGCGAACAACGTCATCGTCCCCGGCACTGCTCGACTGGCTTTTCACATCACTTTGAAGTCCACAAATGACAAACGCACGATTGTGCACGACCTGGGTCGAGCCATCATCAAGATAACCACCATCAAAATCAGCGGGAACGAGGTGCTGAGCATCGACGACAGCAACGTGTTTTACTGTTACACGGACCTCTGGATAACCATCGACGAACGCAATAACATGTTGTATCAAGGACTTTGTTGGGCTACCTGCAAATCCAATGACATCCGTGTGGGAAGAGCTTTCACGCAAGACAAGCTCAATGGGATGCCGGCAGGGGACAAAGCCGTCACCGAGGCGTACGGGAACCAGTTTTGCATACCGCTCGGTCACACTGGGCGACCGGCTGGAATATGAATTCACGTTCAACGACTACGGCAAAGTTATAATCACGCCGGACGGCACCGAGGCCAGCTACGTCATCGACAACATCTCTCTGGCCTTCACGGGTTGGCACACGAAGCACAGCGTTTGGGTTCTGAGTCAGAAATTCAACTTGGTGCTGAAAGATTTGCAGAAACAGACGCGATGAGTCGCCCTGTTTCACTGCGAGGACAGGGATTCGTTCGAGGACTGCTTGCGAGAAAACGACGTGATCCCGACCAAACAAGAACGAGAACGAGTGAAGAAACAGCTCGCCGAAACGAAACACGCCAAACTCCTGTTGAAAACCGACCAACCAGTAACGTATAAAGTCTGCTTGGTTAAGCAAAATATTCTCACAAAATTCTAGCAAAATTCTAGCATAACTCAAGCGAATGAATGTTCAAAACTCTCGTTGTGTGCAACTTGACTTTCATCTCGCTGTGTTTCGCGTGCATCAGATTTGATTTTATTAGACTTAAAAATCGTTTGTTACATTATAAGATTTTTTCAACAAAATAATTCCAGTGTAATTTTTGAAGCAGATAATTTTATTTTCCCTTGTCTGAAGCATAATTATTTTGTTTTTAAATCCCAGACACCCTACAGTCACCCATTTGACGTAAAATGAACTGTAATCACATATTTTTTCTAAATAATTCTTAGTGACTGGTCATATATTTATAGGGGTGAGTTTGCTGGCTGGAACTGTATGAAATTTTGCTGTCAAATAGTATTCTTGTTAAATGATATGGTCTATTGTTAAATTTATTTTGACCTCAAGCGGTGCCTCTGTTTCGCTTGATTCTTCTTCTTCATCTTCAGTGGAAGATTGTCTTGCAAGATGTAAGATCGGATCGTATTGATACGGTCTAACATCCATTTCAGAAATGACATCAGGAACATCTTTTACTGCTTCAGCATCCACGGACACTGTTAAGTTGTAAGGTAAAATCAAAGAGGAAGCCATCAGCAACAGGCACTTATGACGTCAAGTCACGTGATACGCCCTCTGCTCATTAACTCTTGGGTGTTTCCGTAATAGGCGGAAATACGAGTACGTTTTTGTGTTTTTATTGCTATTTTACAAACTTTTTGTTCAATTTTAATCACAGAATGTGACTTTTAGAATATCCTTTACAATATATCAAAAGTTTTGTTTTCGTTCATATTCTCCTTTAAGTATGGGCTAGTACAAGCAGCCGCACATACACATACACACACATGCACGTCGTCATATGAGCGAAATATTCTCAAGCATGACGTTAAACCCAATTTCACCTCACCTCACCTCACCTCTGTAAAAACATCATAATCCCCTTTCTCGACGACATGTGTTCATTTGACAAACGCTGTACAAGCCTATGATAATGCTTAGCAATTGCTTTCAAAACACTTTAAATACTTCTTCTGATTGACACTAAAGGTAGCATCTCTAGTAAGAAAAGCTAATATTTGCTCAGTACTACTAAATTGGTTGAAATAATAGGTACAGTGCGATTTTTAAAAGTACAACACACATGTTCGTCCCTCGCTGAATAAGAGGTGCTTTCTGTTGACGAATATATGTGGCTCTCGCTGTGAGATCTTTTGCGATCGAGTTGCGGTAGTTGTAACTCTATGCGACTCAAGTAGGACAATGAGGACCTATTCAGGACCATTGACATCAACGACTACACCTTGGCATTAATCAGAGAACGTAATAAAAGAAGAGGAAGAAGACATGAGGTTTGGGTCCGAAACTGGCTCACACCTGTGCAGAGACAAGAGTACTATCAGTACTACCACCTTGTTCAGAGGTTGAAGCAGGGGAATCCATCTCAGTTCCGGAACTACATGGAGCTCTTTGATGAAATTTTAGAGAGAATAGGGCCCATCATCACATGAGAAGGAACCAATTACAGACCCTCTTTGGAAGCAGGGTTGAAACTCTCACTGGCATTGAGACACTAAGCCACTGGTGACCAGTTTCCAAGCATGACCTACATCTGCAGGGTGAGCAAGTCATCAATACACTGCATGGTACCCCAAGTTTGCCGGTCTATCGTGGAGGCCTACAGAGATGAGGTATTCAAGACTCCAACTACACCATAAGAGTGGAAGGAAATAGCCAGACAATTCAAACTTCGATGGCAAGTGCCTCATGCCATAGGGGCCTTAGATGGAAAGCACATCAAAATCCTGCACAGAGTGGAAACATCTACTGGTGTGTCTACAAAAGTTGCTTCTCCTGGCGCTTGTGGCCCACAACTACAAATTCTTGTGGGTGGATACTGGAGGTCTTGGACACCAGTCAGATGCCCAAATCTTTAATGCATCTGATCTGAAACATCGCTTGGACACTTGTACACTTGGTATCCCCCCCCTTCTGAGCCTATTGAGCAAGCTGGGCCTGACGAAGACTTTGAACCAAAGAACCTGCCATACTTCATATTGGCCGATGATGCTTTTGCCCTAAGAACATATCTAATGAAACCATGGGCCAAAAGGAACATGACCAGGGAGGAATTGATGTACAACTACCGCATATCCAGAGGAAGACGTGTAGTCGAGAATGCTTTCGGTATCCTGGCTAACAGATGGAGTTGTCTGATGACTGTGTTGTATCAAGCCTCCGAAATTGTCCACACCATGACAGAGTGTTGTATAGTACTTCACAACCTCCTGAGGTCATTGTCCACACCATGACAGAGTGCTGTATAGTACTTCACAACCTCCTGAGGTCGAGGTACCCAGGCATCATGAACGGGTGACCATGAGGATGAAAATCACAGACTCATCTCAGGTTGAATGGAGACGAGGGGTACAACTGGATGAAGACAACGCTCCTCCTGAGCCTCAAAACCGTGACCATAAAGCTGTGAGGTCTACTTTCACTGTTATTGATAAACATGTCAGACTTTTTATGTTTGTTATTCTTTTACTTACGCCTGCACTAAGTGGGTCAAGTTGGGTTTGGCAACGTGGTTTGGGGTTCCTAACCCCAAGTAATCTACTAAGAGAAAGAAGTAAAGGAACATAATCCTTGTATATACTAGCCCAATCCAAAGTACAGTAACAATAACACACTTGTAAAGATGACCGCAAATAAAGGAGGATTATGTTTCCTTACTTGTTTCTCTCAGTATATCAGTGTCCCTGGTATATGTTGTTAGGTATTTCTTCAACCACGTATAAACAACGTCTCAACAACACATGGTTAGGGTTTGCTTACCCCAATTAATATACTGAGAGAAAGAAATAAAGGAACGTATCAGTTGACTACCGAAATACCAGTTAGACTTGTGAAGCATTCTCTTCCCACAGAGGTTACTTGTCATATCTTCCTACGTAACCTCTGTTCTAATACGGCCATATTTCCGGGTTCTCGTAAAATCACCTAGCGGCAAAAGATCGCAACACGAATTATCTCCCTTCTTTCTATCCAATCAGAACACGTGTTACATCGACTTAGATTCAACTTGACTAACACAAGCAAATGTGAGGCCACAAATATCCCCCATCTGGCGGGGACTTGTGTTGATGTTACACACAAGACGTTTAACGGCTAGCTTGTCCGTTGTCAACGAGGGCGATGGAGACGCCACTGATCCACCATAACATGACTGAGTTCTGTCTAGAAGAAACGTTTGCGCATCGCGCAGGGGAATAGGTTTAGTTTTCTCGAAGTATACGGAAATTACCGAGGCCTTACGAATGATCACTTTTGAAACAACGTCGCTGATTGCACAACTAAATCTGATTACCTCCAATCACGAGTCTTGAACGCTCACACCATGAAAGGGACGTATTAGAACAGAGGTTACGTAGGAAGATATGACAGGAGTAACCTCTGTGGGAAGAGAATGCTTGTGAAGATGCCCGGAAACATTTAAAAATAATATCATTAGTCAAGGAATATGTTCCATTATGTTTTTCGCAATAGGTTGCTTAATTAGTCTCACAGCGCTCGTGATTGGTCACGCTCAAACGCAGATCTAAATGCACTGTTCAACCAATAACTTGAAAATCTGTGCAGTGCAAAGTTTGGTTCTGATTTTATAAATTTCACTGAACAAAATAGTTTATGCTACAAAAGTGGCAGCATGAAGCTGTCGTAAACACTTCTACTTTCATGTATTCCCTCCTTTGTTTCTTTCAGGCATCGGCCATTGTAATTGGTTATTCCTGGTAATTAAGCTTTTAATTCCAAGTTTTCAGAGCAACATCTGAAGACAAAATGTCCATACCCTTCTTCTGCAGCTCTTCATCTTTCACAGTAAGATAGCTTTCGGAAGATTTCAGCCTGTTCAGAATTTTCGTTTCACTATTATATATTGAAAATTTATGTTATGCATCTTTTATCAGAGACCATATAATAGATTACACACAAAATTAACACTTGTTTTAATGGGATTTTTAGGAACTTGTATAGCAAATATTATGAGTTACTTATGTACTTATTTTTTGTATTTTTCAGTTGGATGAATTCTCTGTGTCTGAAAAAGTTGCCTTACAGTTGGCTGGTTTGCAGGCGCAAGTGATTTGGGGCGAGTATGAGGAGGACAAACCATTTAGGTAATTGTTTTGGTTTCACATCTGCAGATGCTTTTGTGTACGAATATTCTTTTTTCTTTTCATTATAATTTTTCTGTTTCACCTGACTGAAAATGCTTGTCATGACGAAGACCCGGGTTCCATTCACCACATGGGTACAATGTGTAAAGCCCATTTCTAGTGTCCCCTGCCGTGATGTTGCTGGAATATTGCTAAAAGCGACATAAAGCTATACTCACTCACTCATTCACTCACTCACCTGACTGAAAGTCAAGTCAGTTCATGTCCTGGCCTGGAGCTGCTTGTCTGCCTGTAAATCAAGTGACCTAATATGTCTTAGCCTGCTGGTATGCCTGTTGTTTGCTTTGTAAGCATCTATTCAGAACCCACTGCAACACGCTATACAAACAAACAAACTTTGGCTTCATAAACAAAGCAAACATTACAACATAATAAAATACTTTTTTACCAGATAAATTTCATATGTTTTTTCACACGAACTGACAAGATTGCGTACCAAACAATCTGTAAACAAAGAGATGATAAATGCATTGCTCTTTTTTCTTTTCAGTGTCAGTAAAAACTTTGAGAAGTGCTATAGTGTAAATAAAATAAATAATACCACCCGCATAATTCATATGAATAGAGCGGTAGCGGCAGTGTCCGGACACGGGCAGTACTCGGACACTCGTTAAACATATATTTATAGCTAATTAGGTTAAGCGTTAATGCGCAACATATACGCGCATAAATATTCCTCTTCCGCCCTGCGTCACAAAAAAATCGTCTGCTAGAGGTAACACTCATGTGCAAAGCATCCAATATCTACCTTCCTACTTGATTGCCACGCCCCCTGATAGTCTTACATTTCCGCTAAGCAACACCGTTTCCGGTTTTAAGATCATGTACTACTTACAACTTGTTTTAGATGAAATCTAACTGACATAAGAACTCTAGTGAATGCATGCAGCCGGCTTCGAAGTGCTATGGCGCCAAATTCTAAATATGGCCCATTTTGTGCCATGTCCAGCTACTGCCCCAGTGCATGACAGTAGAAAGGCAGTACTCGGACACATTTAAACTGACACATTTGAAATAACAATCTCATCCCCATTTCAATAAACAAATAAATTTACATCAATCCAACTAATTTATAAATAAAATCAAATTTAACATTAAACATAATAACATTATATTATCTTATATGAAGAAAATAATACGTTTTACATAAATCTTTTGCACTATTCCTTATTTATGTTCTAACGAATTGTAGGTTCTGCAACAAAATGAACATAAAAGACATTTAAACACACACTGATTATTATTTGTTATGTTTAAACAGATGGACTATCCGTTCGAAGTGCTGTTCAATCAACTTCATGCCTACAGTGGGCCACCGGGAATGGGAATAAATACGAATGCCCTTGAATACACACTCAGTACAAAACAGTTGCTGTATTTTCATGTATAACCGGGTAATTGGATTTGAAAAGCATTATCAATGACACGTTTAATATCACTGTGTATCTTCAATATAAAATCAAATCATAGTTAACACTTAAGACAAACATGTAAAATTTACAGCTATTGACAAAACAAAAGCTATAGACATAAAATATCGTACTAGTAGCAAGGAGACGTATGTATGTTACGTGTTTATCCTGTCTGCACAAAATTAACTTTTCTCCTACTTTATTATAGGTACCACATTTTTCATGTGAAACCCCTGCCATTCATGGCCTTGAAGATGGATCTTGAACCTGACAACAGGTTCGATAGCAATGCAATAAAAATCACTGTACCAGAAGCATATGAGATACCAAGCATATTCTTAGATGCTGAGGTTCGGCCAGGGCCAAATAGACAGCTTGTACGCGATATCGCTGGAGCCCTTGTCGGGCGCGTACCACAGCAGTTGACATCCGTATTTGGTCCACTGTTTAGGGACAATAAAATATTAAGTATAACACCCTTTTATACGGGTAGAATGTCACACGGTGGCCCAATCAGAGGTGGAGGCCCAAAGCTTAATTGTTTTTATTTAATTCGTGTTTTGCCGGAAAGGCGTATCTTGCAAGATGTTATTGAAAGTTTAAAGAATGCAGGAATTGATGGGGACAGTGTTTGGTGTTAATTACTACTGACTAGAATGTATTGCTAGATCTTCTGCGTGTAAATTGCATGTTTGTTTTTTTAAAATGTTGAGTGTCCGGGTACTGTCGTACAACTGTCCGGATTAAGCCGATAGTGTCCGGTTACTACCGAATCAGTCGTTAAACAAGTAGTATGAATCTCAGTCAGACTAAGGCGTTTACAGAGTTTACGTAGATTTCATTATACACAGCAGTTGTCTCCCTTCACATCTTATAAGTCTAGTCCAAATCGATGGTTATCGCTGTGAGTTGTTCAGTTTTCACTGTTATGTGTCCGGCTACTGCCGCTAACGCTCTACATCAACAGGTTTAGGTTAAATAAAAATTGTAAAGTCTAAGGTTTTGTGGTGTCTTTCCTCTTAATGCCCTCCAAGCTCTATCTACAGGAGCTATCTCCCCTAACAGAAGCACAGAAAATCTCATAATTTTTACTGTGGCTCACATGCAAGCTTGTGTTTATTTGTTCTCTGAAACATTTCCTCTTCTTTTGTAAATATGTGTAAATATAAGGGCACTTAGTGCATCTCTTCCTTCACCTTTGGGTAAGAAAATTGTCAAGCATGTGGAAAGTTAATGTCCCTTCAGGATCCACATGTTTACTGTTGGGAGTACATTAATACTCTATGCTCTTTTGTCTCCCACTGCCAGCCATGTCAACCTCTGTCACCAACAGCTTTTGAAAAATATGCTTTAGTCATCAAGAAAGTTTGTGAAATTTAGATGGGTAATAAATTACGTCCAGTTAAGGTGCCAACAGAAGCAGAGATCATCTATAACTCAGGACAACCCTTGTCCTATTTGATCTAGACGCGATCCAATCCGTCTCGCCTGAAGCTGTTGAGACTAGATTCATAACAGAGGAGGCGTTGAAGCCTTTTGGAGATCTCATCAAGGGTCTTGCTGATCAGATCTCCGCATTATCACAAGACAGACTCAACGAGCATGATCTACTGCCTTCTCAGAAAAGAGCGAGGGTGAAGCCTCAGACACCGCCCGCACTATCATCTACTGTTACTTCACCTGAGGTCTATTTACCTAGAATATTAAAACACATTTGATTATTGTAATCTGAACGTCACATTGCTAGAAAAATCTAAAAATTTACTTAGGTAAATAGGTATATATACAGTTTTAAACTTTAGTACACCGCAAATGCTTATATGTATTTTAATGCAACAATGAAGTTCATATCCTGGAAACAGCATTGACCCCACAGTTTTTTAGGGAATAAAAATTGCAACGATTACTACTCCCTTGCTGTAACCCATGTTTGGTGGTATAAAGCTACACCTGTTTTTTTTGTCATCATTCACTTGATGGTAAGTTAATGAATTTATGACAGGTATAACTAGTGGTAACACCGCTCAGATTACCCAACAAAGGTTCCCATTTAGCATTTCTCGTGTCTGGAGTAAATACTAAAAATTATTAATTAAGGTCTGATGTGGCAAAAAGTATTACATGCTATGTAATATGTGCATGGAAGTGTAGCAAGCCAAATTATCGGCTGAGTTAAAAAGAAAAACACAGATCAAAGGATTAACCGATAACAAGTTGATTTATTAATTACTAAATTAATTAATCTTGCACAGCGGATTTGTCAAAAGGTAGTGTTTATATCTGTAAATATACTGAATACACACACATTCTGTTGTAAAGTGCCTGTGTAAAAACATCGTATTTTCTTCAAAGGATTAACTGCTAATACGTTGATTGATTGCTCATTGTTGTCCAACTAAATTATTTTTTAAAGAATGGCGGACATCATGTAAATAGTTGTCTGGTGACCAATGAGACTATAAACCACTGTGAAAACGCTGCAATCAAGTCACGTAACCGGTTGACAAACTACCACTATAGTTTGGCATGAAATGCATGTGGACCCGGTTTTTTTGTAAATATCTCTTCATCCAATGACCCAATCGATCTCAAACTTGCAGAGGGAGGGAGCCAATGACCTGTAACAGCGGTAGTGTTGGGTCATAAAGGTAAATGCACGTGCAGTTCATGATAGTTACCTGTGCACTGCACAGTGATGGACCGTTTGGATCATTCACATTGACTACTTCTAGCTGTCATCATGAAAGCTTATTCAGATGATGCTAAACGTTTAATTAGAAATGTGTTGAATTTTTTTTTAAAAGAGAGCAAACGTAGCAAACCGATTTATAAGGTGTCGGATTACATGAAACGTACAACTTTTGCTCTTGGCATGAAAAAGAACATTGTGCTAACAATTGTGAAAAATAAACCAACAACCAATAAACAAAACCTTGTACAAAAAGGTAGGCATCCAAAGTTAGATTCTTTTGACATCAGGGTCATCAGCAAAGCTGACCTACATTGACGAACGTTGACTTTTATGACCCAACTGTGCCACTGTTACAGGTCATTGGCTCCCTCCGTCTGCAAGCCTTCTGCGTTCTGCTGTTTATTTTGTTGACAGTTACATAGACAGATTCTTTAATACAAATGCATAAAATCGGTGATTTACAATGTGATTAGGTTGTCTGACAAAACATCCACTTGCACAGTTTGAGATCGATTGGGTCATTGGATGAAGAGATATTTACAAAAAAAACGGGTCCACATGCATTTCATGCCAAACTATAGTTATAGCGTTATATACAGACATGGAAAATGTTTATTTTTCCTTATCCTGACTCATGCTTATTGCTTGTCTCCTTCCTCTTGCGAACTTAGTGGAACACTTGTATCTCCTATTGAAGCTCCCTTCAATAAAACAGACGTAAAATCACTACTCACCAGAGTTGTCTCTATTTCTGTTTTTGGGGAAACCGTGGCGCCACCGTTCTCCCATGCTTCACTCTCTCCTTCTTCACCCTGTGAGCAGGTTGTGAGAGCGCC